TTTGGCAATTATTTCTAGTTATCAAATAGAAATAATTTTGATTATGCTGACTGATTTAAAACAAGATAAATTTGTTCTGATTTAACTTCCACTAAGTAAGCAGATAAGAACCTTATAAAACATGTAAATATCTGGCTCTGCCTTCAGCCTGTGACATCACACCCAGGTGAGTTTTGTTGCTCTATCTGCCAAAAATGTGAGTAATGGAAGATAGTGTGAGATCAAAATCAAAGACAAGCCTGACTTCCTTGTCGTAAGGTTTGGTTGTGTCTGTGTTTTTTGGAAGATCTAGCCGTTGAAGTTCCAGCGAGCTCCGATTGTTTTACCCTCATGTGCCTAAAAATGAACTGAAGTTATTTCCGTAAGAACATGTTTGTTGAATGGTGAGTAATTAGGTTTCATCTCCAGCAAGAGAAACCAAAAAGACTGCACAGAACTGACAGCCTTCAATGTAAGAGTGAACTTAGCAGGACCGACAGCGGAGAATGAGAAAGAGGCGCAAGAGTTGTTTGAACCTGAAATCCAAACCCAAAACTGTTTTGGTGAACAGCTTTCCAATCGAACATTTGTTGGACAGCTATTCCAACATGATGTTTTTTTTCTTTTCACACATGAGTTGGGTTAAAAACATTTGCCACCTTTGTGTACAAACATTCCTTTGTGCTTCTGATTACCCGGATTTTATCTTTTTTTTCCCCCACACATTTCCTCGTTCCATACAACCTCTTTTAAGTTGCTAGTTCGTCCAAATTCAGAAGTTGCATCCCAGTCTACCTGGTGGACATTATCTTGCTCCATCGTTGACCGTCTAGATTTCAGGTTTGTTCCCGCCATTACCTGCGCAGAATTCCTGTCGCTTAGCAACCACAGCAGCACCGAACACAAGGTAGCTGTGGCAGTTTGTTTATTACGTACTTAATCCTGTATATTTAATGAGTTATTTTAAAAATGACAAAGATATTTAAATGACACAAGCCTTTCAGCTTCTATCATTTGTGCCACTAGATTTTAATTCTGCTCTCCCGCTCTGTCTCCCACTTCTTCTGTTACAAAAGCAAATATCTCTCATATCGCCCCATAAATCAGTTACGATTATTTTAATCTTACGTGTTTCTGTTTTATGTCCTGATCTGTTCAGTTTTGTAAATGTTCAGTTCCAATAAAGCATTCAAAAAAATCTCCATGTTTTTTTTTTTTTGTCAGGCATTCTTCTGGGCACTCTCCCCTGGTGGTTGCCAGGCAACAGCTTCACAAACCCAGGAAGAAGAGTGTTGATTGTGTTTCATGATCAGGACGGCAGGGAGACACATTGACAGCAGAAATGACAACGACTCCTGGTCCAGTTTTGGACGAAGACTCTTCTCCAAAACTTCAGATGGAAAAACGAGTGAAAAATGTTTTTGTTACTCAGCCGGAGGACCCGAGGTAGGCCTGATCTGCCCGTTATGGACAGGATATTCAAAAATGTCTTCACTAAAACACACTGTTGGTTTGTTTAGAGACAGGAAAAAAGAGAAGATGCGCATAACTGCTGCAACAGAAGTAAGAATAAATGTATTTTAAAATGTGTAACAACTGTTATGCTTGTTATGGTTGGATGTCCCTAATTATAATTTTTTTTAATGTATAGACTTCTAGTAAACTCTTAGAGGCTGGCGTGAAAGCACTAAAAAGGACACTTATTGCAAGAAAACAAGCTGAGCTGCATGAACTGGATGTGCAACTCGCACTCAAAACACAAGATTTCAGGAGCTGCATGGAGGCTCTTGCAAATAGAAGGTCAGAGTTGGAAACTCAACAACGGCAGGTGAGCTTTAATTTCCTAAAATTACTGCAAGTGCAGGAAGAAAAAATAAGTCCAGTAGCGATTTTTGGGTTTTCTCCCAGACTAAAGAGGAGGAGATGAAATTTGAGAAGTTTTTGGCTGAGAAAGAAGTGAAGCGACTAAGAGTGCTGAAACAGAGTGAAGCAACTTTGGAGCAGAACATCCTGAAACAGAGACGGATTGAGGATTTAACAAAACAACTGACAAAACTAGAAACCAGGTGAAACAAACAGTTTAATAATGTCAGAGGTTCCCGTTGTTTGCTAAACCCATCTTAAATTTACAGGAAACACATTTTAAAGCAGAGAACAGAAAAGAACAAAATCTACGAGGATTATCTGATGAAAACTCTGGATCGTCTCCCGAGCCGTAAGTCCAAATATGTACACTGCAGAAAAAGTCACACCACCTATTTTTTTAATCTCACTTTCTGGCTTGAGGGATAACTGGTTCCATCAGAAATCTGAATGTTTTTGAAGGGCCAGTTGTGCCAGAATGTGTAAATAAAACCCATTAAACCGTTAAAGCTTCAATAAGTAGCTGTTTGTTTCTGAAATCAATAAGTGTTTCTTAAAATTGAATAATATTGAAAAAATTTTCACATTTTTTCCCAGGATTTTATGATTGTTTTTGTAATGAAAACTTGTGGTGTTAATTTAGCAATATTTGTAAGGAATTTTTACAATATTTGTACTAATTTATGAGGTGACATCTTATTACTCACCGTGTCGATCACAGACTATAACTTGACATCAGCAGTCAATCAAATCCAATGTTTTTGGTTAATTTTCAGACAAATATTCAGTAAAAATCAGAAAGAAATGTGGAGGTGAGTTAATTTTGTGTGAATTTTGATGGTTTGTGAAAAACTGAAGGAACGTATTGATGTAATTTGGAAAATAGAGGCCCACATAAAAAAGATGCGACGGGCCAGATTTGGCCCAAGAGCCTTGAGTTTTGACACGTTCCCTCGATAATTCCCCCTCTCATTATTTTGTCATTTCACAAACAGAAGTGTTTTCTGTAATTCTAAGCAGAAAAAGTCTGATTTAACGTCAGATGGTGAAAGGTACGTGTGTTTTTATACCAACTTGCGCTGCTGGAACAAAGTGTGTGTGATTTCTTCCAGTTCCCCGCCACAACAGCAGCGAATCTTTAGTCATGTCGATCATTCGACGCCATGAGACGCTGTCCGTCACCCACCAGGAGCTGCTGCAACGTTTGAGGCGAATGGAGGCGGAGGTGGACCAGCAGTGGCGGCAGCTGCAGAACATGAAGCAGCAGCACAGCATAGCAACGCTGGTTAGAGATCCATAAACATTCAGACCAACAGGGCCGGTCTAAGCCTTTTTGGGGCTCACAACAGATTTAATTTCATACCAGCATGTCAACGCCAGAGGCTTCGTCATACCCGAGCTTCTCTGTTCTCGTTAGCATCATTGTCCTAGTGTTGTTATGGCTCATGATTTTAACCTTAAGGAGTAGCAAAATTAAAATAAAGGATTTTAAAATGCAGAGTGGCATTTAAGTGTCCTACATTATTTTAACTATTTGTAAACATGAAATTTACAGAAAACAAGTTAACCATAAGTCCAAACGGCCAGCTCTGATTCTGAACATCATGTGACTTTAATGTTTGCGTCTTTCATGCACAGATGTCCAGTAAAGAGCTTTCTGAACTGCACAGTGAGTTAGAAAGCCTGAAAGAGAAGAACAGGCAGGTTGAAGTTAACCTGATGATGAAACGAGGCGTATCCAGAGAGAAGGTGTGACTTTCTCAACATTAGAGGGCAAAGATGGTTAATTTACTAAAAATAGAACTGCTCTGAAAAAATGCAATGTGCATTTGTGTCTCGCAGGTAGAGGAAGTTGGAAAATTACTTCTGGCTGTCAATAATCTTGCACAAGAGTGTTACATCCCAGAATTTGGACTGCTGGAAGGCATGAGTGTCCTGACTATGATGGACATGGTGAAGGTAACTTTTTTTACTATCGATTTTAAAGAAATATAGGAATAATAAGGAAGATTACTTTTACAACTGGAGTCTTAGCTAGAGTTATAAGGCATAACTGACATATCCTTTATTAATTTAAACAACGCTGAGAAACACAGGTCATACAAATTAATAATAATATTAATCTTTATTGTCATTATAGAAACCATGCAATAAAATTACATGGGTTGGATAATATTTAAAAAAAAAACAATACTTATTTAATCCCAAAAGAAAATTAAATAAATATGAGATTTTTTTTTTAATACCAGATCCAATTTCCAGTTTTAATCTAAAACACAGGAAATACTTTCAAAAAGTGGCTTTTATATCCATCATCCCAGGCTAGGAACATTTTTGTTCAATTACAAGAATGTTGTCATAATTTCATCAAAAAGATGCAATATTACAAGAAAAAAAGATATGTTAAAATTACAAGAAAAAAGTTGTTTGAAAGAAAAAGAAAGAAACCAGAAGCTTCAGTTTCTCAGACGATGCAGTCTGTTTTGCGAAGTGCACTAGTCGCTCCAGAATCACAACACTCCTGCACCATAATGCCGCCAGCTGCAAACTCCACATTGGGGTAATGGCTTCTTCCTCTCTGAAAACATCCATTGATTTGACTTTATTTAACTGAAACTTTGGGAACGAACCCATCAGACGTTTACATGGTTGTATTATACAAATAAGTTTAGTATCAGACACCGATGGAATAATACAAACAAGTGTTTTGTCTTTTCCTGCATGTTTTTATAGATTAAAATGAAATAAATGTGTGGCCTCGCTTTCCAGGAGTTTGTTCTGGACCAGGCGGACACGGAGAGGAGAGTGAGGAAGCTGGAGTCCTGCTCCACCGCAGCTCTGACCGACAAACGATGGAGAGAGTCGCTGAAAAGCTTCGGCAGCAAAACTCAAATCAAAAGCTCAAGTAAAGCCAGTAAAATCAGCGACTCGTCCAACTGATGCTGTCATTTTCATTTTTTAAAATTTTTGTCAAGCTTTTATTTTGCTAAGCACATTAAAGTGTGTTTTTAAGGTTTGTGTTTTAAACCAGTTTCCTACTTGACTGCGTCTTTTGCTTCCAGAATCAGGAAAATGTCATGGGGATGTAGCCGTTGTTTCATTTTAAAATGAAGAATTAGATTCAAATAATGCAGAAAGGCACATAACCACATAACAATATGCAATGCAGTGTCTGAGCAATTTGCTTCAAGCATTAATTTATAGTAAATTACTAATTAAAACAAGGGTTTCATTTAAGACTAACAGGTAAGGAAAATGTTTTAATCTCTGATGGTTGAAGTGCAATTTGCAGAAAAGATTCAAGGGATTTTTGTTGAGTTATTTATGTTTCTACAGATAATCTGGAATATGTGTTTTTATTAAATATGCTTAATTTGCCCTTTTGCATAATGGCACATCTGCTAAAGCTGCAATAAAACCTTAAAACTAATTATTTTACGTCAGAATCCAACATTGAGAAAACCACAGGTTTATTGCGCTAAGTTTTTCTTCTCTATTTAAATGGCTACATAAACTCATATATACGGTTCCTTTATTCTATTTTCTATAAAGTTTACATATTTATATTGAATATCTATGAGGATGAAAAAACTATTGATCAATAAAGATCATTCTGATTCGATTCTGACTTTAAATAATAGTAATTTCCTGATTTCTTGCTTGGACAACGTGTTTTCTTGTCTCTCCATTTTTGAATATTTTCAGGTTATGTTTATGGAAACTTTAAATCAAAAATTACTCATTTAAAATTTCTGTCAACTGAGAAAGCAAAGCATTAAAAAATAAACGCTTGAGCTACTTTTATTTAACCGATTCTACAATATTTATTTAAAATCGTCGTTCCCCCCACAGCTATTTTTTTCCACTAAAATTTGTATTTTCCGAAATTTTTCAGAGTAACATTGTGTTGATGCGTTTTAAATTTTTTTGGTCAATCTTTAAGGGAAAGCAATTAATTTAAATACTATAAAATGATAACATTTAGTTTTATGCAACTAATGCACTTCAACAAATAAAGTACTTTTAAGTGAATCAATAACTATTTATTTTAAATGAACGTAAATGTTTAGACCTTACAATTTCTTAAGTATGACGTCAGCATTGCTAAACGTGTACTGGCCCTTTAAATGGACTACGCACACGCTCTTCCGCAAACATCCGGTTTTCGGGAAAGTGGAAGTAGATTTTTGTTTTGTAAAACGCGTTTCAAGGTGTTCTGACGCGCGTCATGCTGCGTGTGCCCGTGTGAAGCTGCGCTTTGGCCCCAGAGCTGCGCGGCTGTCGGCAGATGGAGGACTGCAGCCTGGTTTCATGCACAGAGGACATTTCATCGCTCCTGCCCGAAGGAACACTGAGTCCCAAGCACCAGGTATGCGGCTTCGTGTCCGAAAGAAAGCCGCTTTTTCTGGTTTGCTCGGTCCGCTGCGTCGTCAACAAACACAACTCCTCTGCTTGCAGGATTTGGCCCGACAGTTTTCGGCAGTGAGGAAAGTCTACGGTGATGGAAACTGCTTCTACAGAGCCGTCTTCTTCGCACACCTGGAGTTGATTCTGCACAACCCCAGAGCCCTGCAGAGGTCAGTATTGACCCGTGAAATACATACACACACATACCCAAAGCCAGGGGTGTGCAAAGTGCGGCCCGCGGGCCATTTCAGGCCCTTGGACTAATTGTTTGGGGTCCATGACAATGTTATTACAGTTGAAGGGGCAGTATTGTCTGTTTTCCAGGCACATGGAACCATTTATAGCACAATAAAGCAACTATGTTAACTTCAATTGTTATAAGAATGCTATATATATCAAATATGGCTGTACTTTGTAATTTAACACCTTGAATTTGGGCTTTTTCTTAAGAGTCCAAATTCAGAAATAATTTGGGCTTTTTGAATTTACCCATTAAAGTTTTTACTAACAAATAGCTCTTAAAATGAGCTCAGCTGGTCCACCAGGTATTTGCTAATTGCTGCTGGCTAGTCTGAAGGAGCTGAATGTTGAAGGGCTGTACTGTCAGGCAGACGCTGAGAACCTGCAACTCTGAGGAGGAGCTGTGGCTCGAAGGTGGGGCTCGGTCCATCCAAGTGTCTTACATAGCTGAATGGCTGCCATGGAGAATAAAATATTTATCATGCATGAAAGAATCAAAGCAGCACTCCAGGTGTGTTTTTGATGAGGGAATAACAATATGACATGATGTAAAGCTCAAAAAAGTTGATTTTGCCCTTTTACTAAAATAATTAACATATTTTCTTCCAACAAAAAAATTTGACTATTTGTTCAATTAAAATTACTACAGTTTAGTTTATTTTTGAAAAGAAAAAAAAGTTTCTTTTTATTTGTTTTTGGTCTGAGTCATTTTGACAAAAGGTTTGGCCACTCCTGTTCAAAGCTCTTCAGAGGTCAGAAATAAACTGAACTCCACACAATTCCAGCATCAGTATCTTTACTCTGTTGAGGTCAGTATCAGAAAAATGTTTCATGTCTGGTTCTTCTTCATTTCAGATTTAAGGACCAGATAATACAAAGTGGGAAAGTTTTGATTTCTGCAGGATTTGAAGAGGCTTCATTCGACCACCTACAGAACACAGTGAGTTTTCCTCTCTTTTGTTTTAGGAAACATTTTTCTAATTCATACTCTTTAGACAAAGTGATCATTCAGATAACATTTTTTAGACATAATAATCTAAAAAGCAACAGTATTTATGTTGTGATTCAGAGCAGGAGTTTCTTAAAGAGACAGTTCCAATTTCAAAACGTTAAATTACAAATTTCTTCTTAGTCATATTTGATACATAGAACATTTTTATAACACTCAAGGTAATACAATTACTTCATTGTCCTATAAAATGCTTGGCTTTACAATTATGCCTCTTACGGTTGAAAGTTTAGACACCACTGCCTTAAGTCTTAGTCAGCTTCTTGATTATTAATTAAAATACTTACAGTAATTATCATTACTCCATTGTGGAGCCAGCACTTTCTAGAAATATAGACGGGTTTTTTCAAAGAGCAACCATTCTTTCACTTGCATTTAGTCAAACTAGTTAAGCCCAACAAACTGGTTTGGACTTACTGTGAACTTTTTGGCATCAGAACCAATAATTATCCAAACAAACACGGCTTTAAAAATATCTCTTGCTCTGGCTGCAAGAAAGAAAAATGACAGAAATGTTTCCCGCCTTGCAGCTCTTCCTGTTTACCGTTTGTCTCGGCCTGCAGGTCCTACAAGTGGTGGATCAGTGCGCTGCTGCAGACCATGAAGATGTTCTCCTCAGGCTCTTCAATGAACAAATCATCTCAGACAGCGTTGTGCAGTTCCTCAGGTTGCTCACGTCTGCACACCTCCAAACCCATGAAGACTTCTTCTGCAACTTCGTTGAGGCTCCAGATTTGAAGGTGTATTGTCGTCAGGTAGGAATAAACCTAAAGCCTGCTGAGAATATTTATTGTTGGGAGTTTAAAATGGATGTGAGAAGGTGTTGATTGATTTCTATGGACCGACTTTGGATTGATAAGCGGCCATCTTTTAAAAACCTGAATTTTTTTTTACTCTTCTGATTTGGTCACCATCTTTGGTTCTGTGTCAACGGCTCTGTTTAAGGATGACCAGCGGCGCCCTCTGCTGGATGGTGGCCAAACTACAACACTAAGCAAATGTTAATAGCAAATAGAACTTATTTCAATATGATAAGTCATGAATTATTTCTTTGGCCTCGTTCAGGAAGTGGAGGTAATGGCCATGGAGTGCGACCACGTCGACATCCTGGCGCTGTCGCAGGCTCTGGACATGGGAATCCACATCGTGTCCATGGAGGGGAACGAGCAGCAGCTGGTGCACCACATCATTCCCGAGGGGGTGGATCCATCCCTGCATCTCCTCTACCAGACGTCGCATTACAACATTCTCTATCGACGGACTCGCCTGTGACCAGTTCAGGAAGCGGCCAAATAACATGGATAAAAACACACGCAGGCTTTGAGATCATTATGAAAACCGAACTTTATAAAATACAGCAGCCCATCCACAAAGCTCCACAAATAGTAAAAATTATTAAAGGTAGAATTAAGCTCTCTTTCGTACAGAAATTTTTTATTTAGCCACATTATTTCTGCTTCTTCATCCTTTTTCTTTGCTTTTGTTCTTTCTGCTGTTGTGGGAAATATCTTTTCAGCTTCTTCTGTCCAGAAATGCTGGTCAGGGCGCTTTCCATCCCTGCAACAGGCATGTTCGCCAGGGCCAGTTTTCCCATTTGAGTCGGATACTTTGTTTTTACCAAGTTCTTAAAAATTGGTTGACAGATCAGATGTTTTAAATTCTTCTTCATCTGCTTTACCATCTTCTTCTGCTCCGCGTCTGTTTCCTGGTCTCTAGCACTGCCTGTGGACAAAGATGGTTTTTCAGTATTTATTTTTATTTTTTTAACTTGGGTTTTTCTCAGCCGCTTCAGTGCAACCATTACAGACAGAAAAAGAGAAGAAAATACATTTTCTAGAAAAAATAAGGACATTTCAAAGTTTGAAAAGACAAAAGTTTGCTGGACAGAAAGAAACTGACATTTCAAAAACTTAAGAAGAGTATCAAGAATTGAAAGACGTCCAAGTTTTTTTTTTTAAAAGATTTGAGTTTTTCTAGCATATTTGCAATTTCAAATTCAGAAATGATCACAATTTCTCTAGAATATTCCTGAAATTAGTCTCAAAATGTATTTTTTAGCACATTTTTTGACTTTTCAAACTCAAATTGTTTTTTTTTTCTCCAGAAAACTTGATTTTTTGGCAGAAAGTTACTTCATTGTTTTTTTTTAGCTACAATGACATTATATTAGGACCACGGTGAAATAGAATTACGAGAATAAAGTCATATTACAAAATACGACTTAATAATTGCATTATTGTGACATTCTTATACCTTATTGTGATATGACTTCATTCTCATATGAGTTTTGTCTCGTTTTGACTTTATTTTTATTTTTTATTAGTATGACTCTAATACTTTGTAGTACTTTTGTGCATTTCTCAGAACAGAATTTAAATTCTTTGATTCCAATATTTCTAATCAAAGCAGATAGTCCTGCGTACACTATTATATTAACACGACAGCAATAAAATGAGTGGTCATACTGAATCATTGATAGATATTTTACTTTTGAGTGATGAGCTCAGGACTTTGAGAAACTTGTTTTTTTTTTGCATAAATTGTTTTGAGAAATGCACCAAAGTAACTGAGAATAGCTGTAAATACCGAGTGCTTTTAACGTAATTTTACCGATCAGGAGGTCGTCGTCGAGGTCGACCTCCAGGGCCTCTGCTGCCTGCTTGAACCACGAGTCATGCTGCTTCTCTCTGTTGTTGTAATATTCGATCTTTTCTATCTTCCTGGCGAGGTTCACGCGCTCCTGTAAGGTTCCAGACATTTTGTTAATGGGGACGTAAAATCCCAGAGCTCTGTTGTCACCTGACGCTGACTGATTATACCTTGATGGCTTTCATGCATTTGTTTTCCACGGGGAACGTGGGGAGCTCCTCGTCCTTTCCCAGAGTTTTGGAAATCTTTTTGAAGTTCATCACATCGTCTGGACCGATGAGCAGCAAGCTGAGCCCCTCCTTGGTGGCTCTTGCTGTGCGGCCGCTCCGATGGACATACGTCTCCGATGTCCGAGGAACCTGCATGATAAATAATCAGACATTTTTTACATCCACTTTCCTTTATTTCTGCACTGGATTCACAAAGCAAACTACACTAAAGACATGCAGGAGCAGTCCTGCCCATCAACACCAACACATTTTGTTCAATGAGATTGCTGCTGTTTGCTCTTAAACAACACATTTTTAGAATTAATAGTTTAATTGAGCCACTTGAATATCTTAAGGGGGACCTATTAACCACAACTCACTTTTTCATGATTTTACGCTTCCATTTAGGTCTCAGCTGCTCCTAAAAACAAACACAATCGACAGGCACTTCGCTGTTACCAAGCACGTCTGTCCTGGTGATTTTACAGCTGTATGCACGATACAATGGCTGCTGGAAAAGACAAGCGTTTTGTTGTTGACCTATCAGCCAGAAACCACTTTCTGAATTCTTGTTGGTTGTGCTGGAGGCTCAACTAATGCTTTTCGAAGATGTCCGGTTGCAAAACTGCACATCTGTTTGCAGCCATTTTCACATGAGAGTATCTAAGAACGATTTGCACAAAAAAATGTAATGCATAGTTTTGTGAAGCCCATAAACATTCCTAGCATGTACAAGGTAGTATAATAGTCACTTTTTAAAAAAATTTATTTTGCTGCCTGTTAGGAGAAACTTCAGTTCTTTTTTTATGATTTCTTCATAACGTTCCAATTCAAAATGCATTTTTAAAAATCCTCTTCTATTGCTGCTAATTTTGTTTTCATTTGCAGGTGTAGAAATCTATAACATTTCACGTTTCATTGTTTTCCACTGGGTGGAGATATTTTTGTTCATGTATTGCAAGAACACCAGCTTGGATGGGAAACAAATGAAATCAGTTTTTCTTAAAAAAACAAACAAACACATAAATCGTCATGCAATGTACTTAATAAAGAGGATATTCATATTTTTACATCACTATGCAGTGTGAATTACCTTCACACTCCTGAGTGTGAAGGTAATTCCACCACGTCAGTGCAGGATTCTCATTGAAATAGATATCAACTAATTTAGTAATCAATTAATCGTTAAACTCAAAAGGCGATTTGCTGAAAGAACAACACACTCAGAGTAGTTAAGACAAAACTGTATAAAGTATAAACATCAGAAATAAAAACATTTGTTCTGTAAATTTGTTCTACCCAGAACTCGAGTGGCATTTTTTTCATTTTATTTAAATTCTTAAAAAAAAAAAAACCTTATTCAGCAACTTTTACTACCCAATTATCACTTAATCCAAATAAATAATCGCCAGATCAGTTGCACGCTGTACTGATGTTAAGTCAAGCAGGAAGGCCTGAGCTTTTCACGTGTTGGAACTCATTTTGAACATTAAAGGAAAGCTGTGTTGTTGCATTTTAGGCCATAAAAATGTTTTCCTTCTTTAAAAATTTTATTAAATTGTATATTTGGAACTTTATTATATGTTTATATTGCATAAAAAAGGCCTGAATAAAAAGTCTACATTTTAAAGAAAAAAAATTAATCAATTAATTGTTAATTAATAACTCAAAATAATTGCAGTGTTAGCCTCACCTGGTAGTGGATAACATGCTGAACGTCGGGGATGTCGAGGCCTCGCGCCGCCACATCCGTTGTAAGAAGGACACAGCTGTGGGGACAAGTTGGGACGTCCAGCGTCAGAAAAACAAATAATTACTGAAGTTTTTCCCGAAGCGACACCTGACGGCTGTGGGACTTACTTCTGTTTTTCGGCAAAGCGCTCCAGGTTTTTGAGGCGATGCTTCTGGTGCATGTTGGCGTGCAGAGGAAGAGGGTTGCAATCCAAGATGACCAGAAGAGCACTGAGCCTCTTGATGCAGTCGATGCTGTTAGCGAACACCATGGTGCGACCGGGATACTGAAGCAGGAAGTAGTACAGGTAGAAGTCCTTCTCATCCTTCTGACAATGGATTTGCGTTTCCGTCAGGGTCTCCACGGTCGCCTCCTTCCTGGTGAGGTCCAGGACTTTTGGTTTGGACTTAATCCCCACCTTCTCCATCAGGATTTCCAGTTTGCTCCGGTTGTCCAGCTGCCTCCTCTTCTTCTGCAGGACACGGCTGGGCAAGCCGTGGACCATCGTCAGAGTGGCGGAGAATACAAATGTCTGCCTGGTGGGGTTGAAGTGTTTGGTGTTGAGCATCTCCAGGAGGTTCTCCAGCTCTGCGAAGTGACCTCTCTCTACCATGCGGTCAGCTTCGTCAATGACCAAACACCTGCAGCACAACATCACTGAATTATCTCTGTTTTCTAAAATGTATCAGGATACGAGGTTCTCACATCAGTCGATACCCAGAACAATTGATTTGTTTGTCGTTCTAAATATACAAAGAAAATGTACGAACCAGCAACTGTAAAAAAACAAAAACAAGCATTTCTTTCCGGATTAGACATGTCATTTTTAATAGCTACAACCACACCATTACCATAAAATCCATCTTTAATAGCATCTTTAATAACATTTAGTTGTTATCACCGGCTATAAAGAGCCTTCATAGACAGTTATGAGGTTCTGGCAGAGCTAACTATTTTCTTAATTATAAAAGAAACGGGTTTGTTTATTTATGTGTATTTCTAGCATAGTATGAACAAAATCTGTAGAATTTGATTATCAGATTAACCGTCAGAACAATCGATTACTCCAATAACCGTTAGTTGAAGCCACATATGGAGGTTTTAAAAGCAGGCTTCTGTGTAAATTGTATTTCTTTTTACCTAAGTATTTAGACCAGGGGTCTACAAAGTCAGTCGTTGAGGGACGGCATCCTGCATGTCGTAGTTCTCTCCCTGGTTTAACACACCTGGATCCAATGATGGCTCGCTAGAAGGCCAGAGAAGAACTCCGACATGCTGAGAAGGTTGTTGGTACCACCAGAGAGAGAGCTAAAACGTGCAGGATGTCGGCAACTTTGGGCGTCCCTGATTTAGATGGAGTAATGAGCTCAGTCTCAGACTTTCTCTGATCTTTACTAGTTAAGGAATCTGAACCGTGACTCACTTCAGCTGTCTGAGGTTGAGCAGATGAGGATGCCCCTCACTGATCAAGTCCCACAAACGTCCCGGAGTGGCGATGATTATCTCCGGTCTGCGCTTCAACATCCGCCGTTGTTTCTGCTGCGCCATGCCACCCACCACTATGGCCGTCTGGATGTCTGCAGGGGTGCAAACAAGCAAAGGGAAAAGAGTCTCTTCACGGTGCTGATGGGATGGGCTAAATCAGAGCTAATCCTGCGCCAGAACCCAGGTAAAAGCATTCTAAGTTCAGAAGTCAGCATTTCAAGATGCTCATAAACACTGCTTGTTGCTCTTTGTCATAATTTAAATTTTAAGTTTTGCATAAGCAAACGGCACTATTAATTTATTCGGTTTAGAGCTAGAGGTGTTTAACATTGGTTTTAGACGGATTATTAAGTGTGTCCACAATTTAATAATCCGCTAAATACCGAGATTCCATCATAACTGGGAAATTCCAAATTCCAAGTCTGTCCAACCTATGAAGTCGGATTTCCCACTGGGAAACTGGGAGGAACTTCGATAACTCCAGCTACGACTTTTTCAGATGGTCTCATGTTTCAATATGGCCACTCTTAGGTGGACACAAAGTCCAACCCGGAAGCCGGAATTTCCCAGTTCTAGGGAGAACTGGAACGCAGCATTTGGCGGGCCTCATTTTTCAATATCAATTTCTTAACTGCTTACACTCACAGGCTGCAGCTTACATGGCCATGTTTGCCTGCCGGCAGTCATGCATAAACAGACTGAAACTGACTAGACGAGCGTTGGAGGGAACAGATCAGGTGAGCTAAGTGTGGAATGTAACTGAATCTGTTCCATCTAACCCGCTTTTATATCTAATAAAATCTCATTATTTCTCCAGGTATTTACACTTAGGGGTTCTGGTCGGGTCCTGAAACTTGTAAACGGACCTGGTGGAGCACAGAGGCAAAATGAATGAAGTCCAACAAGGATTTGGCATACAAGTTTAAATATTATAGGAAAGCATCCATCAAGGGCTTGTTCTCATTGATGAGAAATAAAATCCAAGTTGATTTTCCCAACTAGAATGCTGCATAATTATTCTTATCACATTCACATGGCCGTTTAATCATGACTCACCCGTGTATTTTGCGACAGCATCGATGTGGTGTTTGACCTGCACCGCCAGCTCCCTGGTCGGAGTCAGAACCAGTCCGAGGAGAGGCCGGTTCCGCCCCTCAGGTACGTTTTCCTTGAAGTCAAACTCCACATCGTCAATCACTCGAACACACCCGAGCTGTTCGTCCTGATCTTCACCCTCATCAGAACCAAGAGTTTGATCCACTTCGATGTCCTGATCTTCCCCTGAAGCCTCCATGCCGTCCTCCTGCTGCTGCTCCTCCGTTTTGGACTCGTCTGTGTCTCCCAGTTTGGACGTTGTCTCGGAACCATCCCTCCACTCCAGGATGGTGTGGATCATGGGAATACCGAAAGCTAATGTCTTACCACTTCCTGCAATTGCAAAACAGCTTCAGTGAGCAACATTTAGGTAAGATTTTCTGATTCCAGACATTTAAAAGGGTGATATGGATTTAAAGTTTTATCACGATATCTTGTGGTACCAATGAGATAACAGTGATGATACGAAGTACCTGTATGACTGACGACATGACACTATATAGAAGACCAGTTACATAAAGTGTGATTTATATAACTAAAATGCACTCAGTAACTGCGTTTAACCATATTTTTTAATATGGTGTCTATTTATTGAAACACCTTAATTGGAAAAATAGAAAAGTAGTGAAAAATAATCTTGACTGTTTTAGGGGTTTTTAAGTGTCATTAAATGGAATTTATTGTGGCAATAAATCAAAATCTCATAAGATTTACAGCCCCACATGAAAATATCTGCAAACAGATGCTCAACTAAACAACTGCACATCTTTGAAAACCAGAAGTGGCGCCTTCTGCGCAACCAACAACAATACCGTAAGTAGTTTCTGAGTAGTAAGTCTACAAAAAAAAAAAAACACTTGTCTTTTGCAGCAGCCATTGTACAGCGGTAAAATCTGCTGACCAAACATGCTGGAGCTCAGCTTGGGTTGCTAGGCCACAGTGCAATGCCCATTATGACTTAACAGCTCATTTTCCAGATACCAGGAAACATTTATTGGCTAAAACAACTGGGTGTTTTTTGCATTTGGGTTGTTTTTAGAAGGAGTCCAGAGCCAAATGGATTTAAAACATGTGTAAACTGTGAGGTCTCCTTTAAGATCAGTCTTACCGGTCTCAGCCGCCCCCAGGATGTCCATGCGGTCTCGGATAGCTGGAGGCAGAGCCAGGGCTTGGATGGGAGTGGGCGACGTGAATCCCAGGCTGCTTAAAGCCTTCAGCACTGCAGAGGGGACAAACAGATCCCTCCAAGCACTCACGTCAGAGTTTTTTCCCTCGGAACCAGAAAGCGCTGCGTTGGTCCAGTTCTTTGGCTGCTTTTTGGGAGGTTTTCTCTGATCTAGGCGGGGTTTTTCTGGAGGTTTGATGGTTTCTTGGTTCTCTGTGACTGCAGTCTGTTCTGTTTGCTGTCTTGGTTTCTTCTTCTTCTTCTTCTGCTTTTTTTTCTTCTTTTCGGTGTTACTGGACTGAACATGTTCAGAGACAACAGCTGATTCTTTCTGACTCTCTCCATCCTCCTGACTGGAAGATTCTCCTTCCTGCTTCACGTCCTCGTTGGTACCAACACCAGCCATCTCTGGCTCATTTTCAGCAACTTTCTGACGTTTCTTCTTCTTCTTCTTGACAGGCTCACCTTCAGTCTGCTCGGCTTCTCTCTTCTGTCTCTTTTCGTTTCTCAGCTGTTTTCCTGCCTTCCTGTTATCCACCAGGCGGTAGGAGCTCAGCTCTTCGAAGCACACCAGGTCCTTCAGGCCTTCCTCTGCCAACAAATGAGGATCCAGCTCCACTGGTTTCCATTTGCCCTTCATTTCAAAGCTTAATTTGACCGAGGAGTTCCGCTTCGCCCCAGTTTTTCCCTTCTTCGCCTTCATTTTTCTTCAAACTGGAACCAGTTTCGAAAACGTGCTGAACGAAACACCGAGTATTCGAGTGCGCATGCGCGCCAAGCGCTTTAAAACTAGGTCAAATTTATTGAACAGTTAAGTTTATAGACTAGATATCCGATCAATAACAACAATTTACCTAAACTGAAGCGGCTTCAGTCTGGTCCTACAACGCATGACACGAGGGCGCAGCCATGACAGTGTCGTCACGTGGTTTGTAAAAACTTTATTCATCCAGAAACGTTTACAGTTATTTTACAAATTAGAAAAAACCCATTAAAATATATATTTTTACTCTTAAAATGTTTGTTTTTGTGTCTTTAGAGAAGCCAGAAAATTGAACAACCCATCAGTAAACAATTTAAATTGTATGTACAAAATTTATATGATACCAAACAAAGCTTTTTTTTTTTTTTTTTTTTTTTTTTACATATCAATCTGTTTGCACCTAAAAAAAAAACAACACTCACCAGTGGCTCTGATATTAGACATATGACAAGCAACATATCGTGATAAATAATTCTGACTATTTGATCAAGTTTCCCACCATTTTTATGCATTTACAGTCGATAAGGAGAAAGGGTTTATGGAGCTAAATTGGAGCCATAATGTTTGTTCAAAACATGCTTTTTCAAACTGAAAATGATAATTGTAGTTTTAAACTGGAAATATAAAAGTTCAGGAGCATCTAAGCTCTACTATATTTTGGGCACCAAGTAATAACATAAAGACTGGTTGTCATTTTGCAGCATAAGGAAATGGATAGAGAAAACACATATTTACAGACTCTCTTCTCAACATAAAAATCAATATTTACATGTCTTAATAGTTATATTGATCCTTACTTGTTGCTTATTGTTTTAGATAACTGTTTTCAAAGAACTGGAAAATGTTTTGGAGTTGTTTTGAAGCAGCATGAGAGTCTGGAGGCAGTTCTGTGGTCTTACCCTGGTTGGCCAGGAGGTGGCAGTGTATGGTTCGACATTATGTGTATCAACAACAGCCACAATGAGCAGTTAAAATTGTTTTATTGACATCAAGAATTTTATTTCTAGACAATAGGAGACAATATTTCAAAAGATAATAAAACAAAGTGAAATGAGCAATACTTTTAAAAAACTGCATTTTAAAAATTTTTTAGACCCTTTTTAACAATTATTCAGTCGGTTGTGGTACGTAATTCTTGTGAAAACGCATTTAGTGAAGTGACCACTGACCTCTAAAATGTAAACTATCTCATCCATTGCTTAATTTGTTATGGGAATGTTTTTAATGAAGTTTGGTTTAAAAATGGGATCTGAGAAGTTCACCAAAACCTTCTGTTAGTAGCTGTAAAGAGGTGTTAAAGTCAGACAATCATGGAAAATACTGATTTAAGTGCAAAAGGTTATATCTGATTAACCAAGTTTGACATAAAAACTTACTGAAACCCTGTAAAGCACAATCAATTGATGCTGCTTTCAAGAAAATACATAAACTGTGCAGTAACTAGTTGCTGGAGGGGTTAATAACTCTCCCCATGAACAAGAGGCATTTAGTGTCTTCGTGGTATATGAAGAAGAAGAACGGCCTGTTGATGAGGAACATCCTGGGCAGAGAGTAGGGAACGATGCCGATTGTGGTGCTAGCCGCCGCGGTCGTTCCCGTCTCGTCCACCTCGACCACAGCTTTGTGCAGCACCTGCGGGTTTCACAGCAGGGATAAACAGCGTTCAGGTGGGAAACAGAGGGAGTATTTGTTTGTAAACGCAGCGGATGCAGCTGCAGCATACTCTCCTAACCGTTCATTGGTTACCATAGACCTGAGTGAAGTTGGCCCCCCACCTTCTTCAAATCAGACAAAATAGCTGTCAAATGTTTGTGCAGCAAAAATGTTGTGCTGCTATCATATTAAAGATATTAAGAAATGTTTCTAGAGGTCATTGAAGGTCAACCAGCCCCCACTTTCTTCAAATCAGACACAGTAGGTGCCAATTAACTTGGCTACGTTTGTGCTGGTCGATAGCACAAACGTTTGACACCAATTTTGTTTGATTTCATAAAAGTGGGCCAGGCTGGTTGACCTTTTGACCTTTAACATTTCATTAATATCTTCAAAGCCAAAGCAGCACAAACAAACATTTTTGTTGCACAAACGGAGTCGAGTTTGATTTGATTTGAAGACGGTGGGGGGGCCTGGTTGACCTTTGATGACCTCTAGAAACATTTCTTTATTTCTTTCAAATGATAGCAGCACAAACCAGCACAAACAATTTGTGCTGGTTTGTCCATTTTTTAAATGGAAAGCGACTTGCGAAGGGTTAAAATAGAGAAATGGTGAAAACATTTCTAACTCACCTCTGAGAGTTTGAGGCCTGGTTCCATGCTGAGGTTTGTAAGGTTCGCTGAACTAGTGAACAGGCTGGTCATGCCCATATCTGGAAGAAGACGGTGCAGGGAATATTCCTCCGCCATCTTGAATTTTGGCATGCTGACTTCCAGTCTCCTACAAACAGAACAAAACACGGTGTATTTATTAAATGTTAAGGTTCATACTCTTTTTATTTATTTAAAAAAAAGCTAAATTCAAGTGTTTTTAGAGGCATTTCAAGTATGTTTTCAAACTTTTGCTATACAGCAGTTTGCAGATAAAAAATAAATAAACTAAAAAAATCAAATGTATCTTTCAAGAAGACCCAGTGATCTTGGCGTTTCCCAACTAGAGGTGGTGAACAAGACAATATTGAGTGTTTTGACGGACGGACGGACGTGTTTGGAGTTTCTTTTTGGGGGCGATTTGCAATGACCAACTGACCTGACCTGCATGTTTTAGGACATGTGGAGGGAACCGGAGTGCCGGAGAAAACCCATCCAAACATGGGGAGAATTATGCAAACTCCACACAGATGGTCTCTGTGGAGACACAGCACTAACCACTGCACCACCGTGCTGCCCACGGTTTTTCCAATTGGGTTGAGAAGGGATCTAGTTTCTAGTTTGTAAATGAGGGAAAAACTTTGCCTTTTTAAATTTTCTCTGTGTACGGAGCGTCGCATGGCACCCCGTACACAGAGGCTACAACCTGCATGCATGTGTCTGATTCCAGTCTAAGGACTGGAATCAGACGCATGTGCAAGATAGGAATAATTCCTATCTTGCACGTTATTAAAAATGACGTGCAAGATAGGAAACAGGAAAACCCACTCTTTTGGTTTTTTTTGGCTTCTTCAACCGCAGAGTGTTTCATACTTTCTGGATCTATGGAGCAACCTGATAAGGTTTCTCTTGAAACTTTCAAAACTTTAACCTGGTGGACTTGGCTCTATGAGTCTTCTTCTGTCTCTTGGAAAACGCTGATCTGTTTCTGTTGGGAATCTTTTTCCTGAGCTCTCAGTTGAGATCCTCTCTGGCTCTCTCCAATTAATTTTTCAGACAACTTATCTCTCTTGGTCTTTGTCCGCTTGCTGTTTCATTGGAGTCATATCGCTTTCACACCGCCAGTTGACACGCAGCTCCTCGTATGAACTCTGGAGTTCGTCCAGTTCTTCTTGCAGGGCCTTACTTCTCTCTCTCTCACGCTGTATTTCAGCTGCGAATGATTCCTGGGTGAGGAGGTGGGCCACCTTTAATTCTGCAAAGTCCTGTTGCAAGGGCTTCTTCTTCTTGTATTTCACATCGTTGTGAACCTTGGAAGCAATGACCGCAGCGTTAAGGACTGCCGGTTCACTGAACTTCTCCACTCTCTCAAGTTCCCTCTTTGCGTCTTTGGCCTGGTTGATAAACATTTCTTTGAGAGCTTTCTGCCGTTTTAACTGGACTTTGGTTTCTTCCAGCTCTGCCTCCAGGTGGGCCAGTCTTCGGTGGTCTTCCAACCTCCTGGCGGTTTCCATTTCCAGGAGGGAGCTCAGTCTTTGTATTTCCCTGTGTAAGATATCCGGGTGTGCAGGAAGGAACCTGCATTGGGGGATTTGCTGGACTCTCCTTCTCGCATCAGGTCCCAACATCCCATAGTTGTATGTCGGCGTATAATGAGACATTTTCTTTTGAAAAAAATCACTAAAATCGTCGATTGATAAACTTCCTTAAAGAGCTTTGCAGGCGTCTGAACTGGTCAGTAGATTTGCAAGCAATGACAAATATGTAGAATTGCGTTACATACAATTCTGCAGTTGATGACATCACAGACAGCATCGCCAGTGACATCACAGATTCTTCCTTTGCTGGTGGTGTGACATCATTCCACCACCATTATCTAACTCTTTATTCTTGTTTACTTTCAAAGTAGTCCATGATTCATTTGTGTTATATTAAGGGCATCAAACTCATTTTCATTTTGGGCCCGATCGTATTGATAGAAAACAATTCAGCTTTTAAAATATCAATAAATACGTGTTTCAGGTTTCAATAAGTGTTTCTTAAAATAATATAATACTGAACATCTTCCCACACTAGTCATCCAGGATCGTTTCTGTGGTTTTCTGCAATCAGCATCATAGATTTTGTGGTGCTAATTTAGAAATATTTGTAAAGAATTTTTACAATGTTTGTGATAATATATGATGTTAAATGTGATCTTTTATTTATTGGTCATGGACCTTAACTTGAGACAGCAGTCACTTGAACTCAAATGTTGATACACTCAGAAAAAATTTGGGGATCTGTTGATTTTTGTGTGAATTATGTAATTATTGGTGAAAATCTGGAGGAGGCTATTGCTGTAATTTGCAGTTTAAAGGGCCACTTAAAAAGCTACAGCGGGCCAGATTTGGCCCCCGGTCCTTGAGTTTGACACACATGCCATTTATGATAATCTCATGTGAACGTTTTTCAATATCTATACATTGGGAAGTTAATTTTGCTTGTTTAATCAAACATTTATTTTCTTTTGTACATTGGAAAAAGAGAGTAGGAAAGAAAATTTATAATAAATAAATGCAAACAACATGAAAAAGCAAAAGATAAAACCTATAACTATTGATTTATAAATCTTGTTGAAAGTTGGTTAGGATTGATTAAGCCTCGTTTTTAATATCAGGCTTAAGACTCAAAAATTGTAAATGAGTAATAGTTGTAATGTGCCAGAATAATTCTTTGTTCGTTAAAACAAAGAATGTTGTAATCTATATTTTCGGTATGTTTTTGTTAGCTTTCTAAAGGCATAATGGAGTTCTTATTATAAACAGTTTCTACTGAGAAAATAAATGTGTATTTTTTACCTGGTTTCAACTGTAAATAACCTTTTCCAAATTTTAATCTTCTAATCAAAGTTAAATTACACATTATCATTATTATTAAACTGTTCAGTTAAAATATCAATAACTTTCAAGGACTAGAAGCAAAGTTTAGTGCTTTAATTACTGATTAAACACAAAATTAAAGCATCACTTTCACATTTTTCCATTGCAGAAAAATGCAAATTCACATCTGACAACCAAGCCAGAATTTCACAGTACGAACTCACGTTTTGCGGAGGCCTTCGACCCAGCTCTGGAACTTCTCGGCATTGATCTCATCATCAATCACAGTGTAATCGATACCCTTGTTTGGTAGCAGGATAAGCATGGAGACGCCTTCCTGGTAAGGCAGCTTCAGCAGTCTGGCTCCCAGGGGAATATCCTCCGAAGTGTAGAACTTGTCCTCTTTCACCATCATGGGAACTTGCAGTATATTGTAATTATCGATGTAAAAGGGAGCGTCTCTGGTCAAATCAGAGTTAAAAGGCAACTGCCAGGCACCTGGATTGGGGACAACACGGTTAACTGGATGTAAATAGTTAAAGTTAGACTCAAAAACAAGTCAATATTTTTTATTCTGGAATGGAGTGTTAGGGCCACGCTAATGAAATAATAAAGAAATAAGATTCTGATAATTAAGTCATAAATGTTACGACTGCAGTGGGTCTCTGCCCTTTTTTCTTGCGGGGTTGTGGAGACAGAAACGAGTCTAACATAAAGCTATGAGAATAAGTCGAATAAGATTGAAATAATAGGAGAATAAAGTTATAAAATGATAATAAAGTTGAATGAAGTTACAGTAATATGGGAATAAAGTCAAAATAACAACAAGGTTGTAAAGAATTAGAATAAAGTCAAATTAGGTCAAAACAATAGGAAAATAAACTCGTAATATTACAAGAATAAAGCCATAATAAGAGAACATGGTCGAATAAAGTCAAATAAAACAATAATGAAGTCATAAAATTACAAGAATGAAGTCAAATAAAGTCAAAATAACAGATTAAAGTCAGTATTAGAAAAATGAAGTCAAATAATACGAGAATAAAGTCTCAATAAGAGAATAAGTTGCAAGAATAAAATCACAATATTATGATAATAATAAATATAACTATTTATTATTTTGACTTCTCATATTTTTTCTACTTTATTCTCTTAACTTAATTTTTCACTTCATTTTTATTTCTGAGTTTTTTGTTATTTATTTCTGAGTTTTATTTTATTTATTTCTGAGTTTTAATTGTTATTTATTTTGTTTGCTATAGTAGAGCCCTCATAGGCCTCCTCCCTCATATTCATTCATTACCTCGGAAGAAAATGCTGTTGATCAGCAGGAGCTGGCTCGTTTCATCCAGTGTGGAAATCATTTCGGTAATTTTGTTCTGCGTCTTCTGCCTGATGTATTCATTCACGTAACTGACGCTCCCTTTCGTGTCCGCAAAATCCACTCTTTTGACGTCGGCGTGGAAAAACGTCCTTATTTTGTCCTCAAACTCGTTCTGGAGCTCCATCCGCTGGTGGACAAAAAGCGCCATGTTTTGGTCCAGTTTCAGGGAGCCGTTCTGCGCGATGTTCTCCTGAAGGAGCTGGAAAAGCCTCGGGATGAGCTGCGGATGCTCGGAAGACTCCAACTGGTCCAAGTTCAGCACCCTGAGGATCTCCTGGCGCGTCACGCCGCCAGACGCCATCAGCAGGGCGGCGAAACTGGCGGAGATGCTGAGAGGAGAGAAGAAGACGTTCTTGTCGTGGTGGCTGGATATTTTCCTGTACAGGTTCATGGCAAAGTCCGTGTTCTTGTAGGAAAGATCGGAGATGGTGACGTTTGGAGGCGCAGCTGGGTGGACAGGAGCCACGAAGCACAAGCAGGTCAGAAAGAAAACAAACGTCATTTCCAGTTTGAGGGTTCCCATAGCTGGAGCTCTGAAAGGCTTGAACCTGAAACAGGAAGATGTTTTAAGTGCAAAAAATACAAAATATCACCAAGTATTTTTGTCTTCTTAGGACACTTTTACTTTGAAAACACTTCCGGTGTTGTAGCAAGTTTAAATACGCTGCAAAAACAAAATCTTGCCAAGTACATTATTTTGGTTTAGTTTCTGGTTCAAATATCTTAATACACTTAAAATAAGACAAAACTTAAGAAATTATTGACTTAAACACACATATATCTTTCTGAAATGTTACTTGTAAGTTAGTTTTGTTTTCTTTAATGTCCTCTAATCTATTTGCACTTGAACCTCAAAATACTTGGTGAGATTTTGTGTTTTTGCAGTGTGGACAAATGAACAACTCTTCAAAAACACAATATCACCAAATATTTTAGTTTCTAGTGGAAATATAGATACTAAAAATAAGACAAATATGCTTGAGATAAGAAGGAATTATTTTCTTGTATGACTGAAAAGTTACTGGTAAGCTAGTTTTATTTTGCAGTGTGGAGAGCAATCCACTAGCATTTTTGCATTTATAACATTGGAAAAAAAATGTCTTATTAGACATTTGCCAGTGGAAATAGTATTTTTTAAAATCAATATTCAACAATTATTTACTTTAAACAGGCTGATAGTTTAGTGAAAGTTACTTGTAAATTTGTTTAATTTCAAGTATATTACAGCATTTTCACTAGACAAAAATACTTGGTAAGACTTTGTTTTTGCAGTTCATCTGAAGAGTAAAAAATGTAAATTATCTACATTTATCACAACAGAGAAACTGTAATTTTGCAGTGAAATGTACTCCTACCCCAACTAGCCACCGTACGCACCTTTCAGCTCGATCCAGATGAGTTCTGTAAACTGATTCTGTTATTTGGGGAAACAAAGTCCAATGTTCTTCTGGTTACTTATCAACTACGACAAAGTTTTAGGGGGAAGAACTTTCACATCATTGTCCTCATTATTCATAAATAAAATTTACATCTGATCAGAGGCGGATCTACATGGGGGGCAAAAGGGAGCGAGTACCCCCATCTAGAACTTATGTCCTTAAAAACTTATCACTTGATTGATTAGAAGCCTTCTTCAAATCTTACCAATTTTTTTGGTCTACTTTTTGTTGCAAATATCTTAGTTTTGTCTTATTTCAAGTGTACTAACCTACAAGTAACTCTTCAGCAAGAAATGAGAGCTTGATTTAAGTAATTCCTTAATATTGATTGATAAGTAAAATAGTAAAATTATTATTAAAATATTCTGGTTGCACCACTGCACCTGATATTACTATTTATCATAGTGGGTTTGCCTCAAAGATAACCAACTTATCTGCAACTTCAGATGGGAATTATCCAGTTTCAGTATTTTTGGCAGGTATTTTGTTACTGCATAAAAATGAATGCTCACAAATTGCCCCATTAAATAAAATATCAAAATTTTACTTATTTGTTAAGTAGGAACAATATCTGCAAAGCCAATTTCTGCCAAAATAAAAGCCCAACCGGAAGTAATAAATTTGACTTTCAAAGTCGTTAATATGAGATTTAAAGTCAGAATTATGAGTTAATTATTTTGACTATATAAGTCATAATTTTGACTTTTTCCCTAATGCTGTTACCGTAATTCACCATGTATTTGTGAAGCGAATCTTTAACAGAAGCTAACATAGTCTGATTTGTGTCTTATCTGCTGTTGCATCCCTTGTCATGACTTTAAATCTGATAATTATGACTTTTAATCTCTTAATTTAACTTCTTAATGGACTTTTATTTTTTGATTATGGCAGAAATGGGCTTCCGTAGTCACATGTCACAATAAAAACGCAGCAAACAGTGAGTTAATATCACTTTAATCTTGCAACACTGACAATTATATTAACTGAAAGAATGTGTATCGCAACATGAAACAAACACAACAGAAGTGATTGAAAACAATGCAAAATTAGAAAAAAAAACAGGTTTTATACTCTGACACAAGTGCATTTAAAATGAAAAAAATACAGCCAATCCTGACAAGCAACAGTGAAAACATCACATCTGCACAGCATGTTCTTTACTTTGCATGACCTCCAAACTTGTTCTTGTGTCCAGATGTCGTGACTCTTAACAAACGGTTTTAATGTGGTCTGTTCAGGAAAAAACAGCCTGATAAAACTCAGCATGGTTATAGTTTTAGACCAGCAATAAACTACAACATAGTTTCCAGACCTGCCAAATGTTTCTGATGTTTGATTTCTCAGCTTAACAGATTGAGGAGTTTAATAATTAGTTATAAACACATGACGTTCAAGGACTTTGGCAACCTCAATAATAACCGATGTATCAGTGAAAGGCAGTTAAAACCAGATATGAAACCAAATCAAATCCGTCTTTTACTGTTTTAGGTCAGTTAGGAAAACCACATTTATTTCTACTTGCTACATAATTCAATTATTTAAGCAATTTGGAAAATCCCAGAAGCATCTGTGAGCTTACTTTGCAACATTTAAGCCACCAGGAAGCACAACTACATAAGCATTTTAAGGCAAACGTTCTGCTTCCTTATGTGACTCCAGGAGAAAATAAAACCCAATGAAGAAAGCGACTTGCGGATCTCAAAACGTCTGGTTTTATCATTCGGTACGATTTCCAGATGTTATTTTGTCAAACGTTGCATAAAAATATCCAGCATTCATCATAATTAGGCAGAAGTCGGGTTCTATAATCTGGAGAGTCGTGTAATCTGGTAATATTTGTGACTGAAGCTGTTATGAAAGTATAAACAGAATTTAACAACATGGGCTGGAAGAAGTAATTCCTCCAAAAGCAACACGAAAAGCCAGATTACAGTTTGACATGTCTGTATATTTTGACATATTGGAGGAAAAGGGGAAAGATTCAGATATAATCCCAACATGTGGTGGGATTTTTTTACATTTTTTTTGTTGGCGGAGGGACCGGTGCGCTTCACACAGATGGCACCATGTTGAATTCTCAAAGCAAAAAGACACCAGAAAATAAAACTGCAAGAAGTTTTGGTGAAAACGAGACAAAAACTAACTTACAAGTAACTTTTTTTAAGACATAGAAGCTTTTTTTCCCCCCCTAGTCAATAATTATTGAATATTGATTAAAAAAATTATTTCTCAAAAGGAGACTTTCGTCATGTTATAGAAAACTTTGCTAGTGGAAACAGCACTTTTTCCATTAGAAAATTGACTTAGAACAAGCTCCAATATCTTAAAATAATATTTTTTTAGCTAGTTTTGTTTTATTTTAAGTGTGATACAATGTTTGCACAGGAAGGTTGAAAAATATACTTGGTAATATTTTGTGTTTGTGGGTTTTCCAAATGGACAACACCTCAAAAACACAAAATATTCCCAAGTATTTTTGTCTAGTTTCAACTGAAAATATTGAATTCCACTGGAAATGAGACAAAACTATCTTATAAGTAACTTTTCTACAGGTAACATTGGACATGGGATATTTTTTGGTCAAGCCAATAATTACTGAATATCGATTAAAAAAATTATTAGTTAACTTATAACAAGACATTTTCTCCAGGGTGTAAAAACTCACAGTGGAACCAGTACTTTTTCATTAACATAAAGAAATTATTGTCTTAAACAATAGTTTCTTCTGTATCTTAAAAGTATTATTTTAAAGTTAGTTTTGTCTTATTTGAAATTTGCTGAAGAAATTAAAGAAAAAATAAGATTTTGTGAAAAACACAAAACATTACCAAGTATTTCTAGACTGGTTTCTACTGCAAATACCTTAATACACTTGAAATAAGACAAAAATAATTTAAAAGTAACTCTAGCTAGAAATAGGAGCTTTTTAAAATAAATAACTCTTTGATATTGATTGAGTAAAGTCCAAGTTCCACTGACAGATTATTTCACTTACAACTAGACATTTTTCTCATGCTAAAAGTGAGAATTAGTACATTTCCATTAACATTAAGGAATTATTTACTCTAAAAGAAAAAGTGCTTTATATTGTTAAATAGTTACTTGTAAGTTGGTTTCAAGTAAAATATTTGCTCTACAAACTAGACAAAAACACTTAGGATTTTGTATGTTTGCTGTGTTGATTCAGGATAAGAAAACATTTGATTCCTGATTTCAGTGCCATAGAAAATATTTCTATGTTGAGAAACTTCTTAGATGAAAATAGATACTGAAATATCTCGTTATTGTTGCATTTAGGAAATAGTTTTTGTCCCAAATGACCTAAAAGATAAAAGATTTGATGAAATTATAACATCTGGTTTCAACTTTATGCTACTTAGATGGTCAAATTTGTGCAAGTAGTTTGGTAGCTGTATAATCTAAATAATAATATAACAAAGTATTTTCTTCTTAGCTCACTAAGTGCTTTATGTGAAATTCTAATGGAACATTGTAGAAAAAACTGTCCACACTGGACCCTTGTATTTGTTTAATGTCTACTCGTACATTTAAAGAAAGGAATAAAGTGAAAACATTGAAGATGAACTGTGTTCTGGGAATAAAACTATCACTCAGATCAGGAATAAACAATCCACAGACGTTAGTGTTTCAGACCAAAAGACACTTTGGTGCGGTGAGAAATTGATGGATTATTTCAGACTATAAAGGAGTTGTGATGGATTAGGCCTCCTAATCATTTCTTTGTTCCACAAACCAAACGCGGGAGAGTTTGTCATCGCCTTTTTCTGTCCATAACATTGGTCTCGTATGGCTTTCATAGAATGCCTCTTACTTTTTTTTTCCTTTTAACCTCCAACTCTTGCATGTTTTTTTTTGTCTTTCCTGGTCTTCCTAAAAAAAAACAAAAAAAAACAGAAGAACTGGAATAAAAAAAAAAAACTGTATACAATAGAAAAGAAGGCGCCATGGTAAAAAAGGCAATTGCAATCTTGGATTTACTGCATCATGAGTCCGCTGGAGCCCGAGCGCTTCACCCAGTCGCACCAAAGTGCTGCCTCTTCTTCTCGTCTCTGTGGTCAGTCAGTGAACCAACACAGGAAACCGTGTCCTTGCGTCCTTATGTTTGCATATGCAAAAGGTTAGAGGAGGGAGCGAAGCTCCCCCCAGGCAGGGGTTCCAGTCCAGGCCGCTGGTAAACAACACAAACTTTTCACAACTTCACTGGCTGGACTCTTGCTGTTGGTCTTCCTCTGAGCCGGTGTTTGCTGATCCTGGGTAAAGTCGTGGCTTCAGGTTAATATTTAATGACACTCATTGCATTAAACTGCCTCTAGAATACAGGAAAAGTCTTAAGATTGGGAAAAGAAGCTGAACGTGTTCGTGTTTCAAATTAGCTGTTGATTAAGGGTGATTTCACACCAGATTGGGGACTAAAGGTCTCAACATTTTAATGATGCAAAGCGAGTTTTCTCACCTGGATTTGTGTCTGGCTGTTGGGGAATGTTTGGCTGAGCTTGTTGCTGCTGCCTAAAACAAGAATCAGAGGAAGTTTGACTCTAAAACTTGTTCTTTAAATCCTCTCTTAGGAGGAGATGAAGAGTCTGCTTCATCCTACCGTTCAAAGTAGGCCTGTCTCCTCTTCCTCAGCTCCTCCGCTGTCAGCGTCTCGCTCTGGACTTTTGGTCCTTCATCAGCGCTGCTGGACTTCACACCTAAAACCTCGCACTCCGAAGACGAGTTGCTCATCACGGCTCCTGAAAAACATGGAAGAGAGAGGGAGAAAGTGTAAGAATATGTTGAAATGTTCAAACTATTTTTATTGTCTTTGTGCATCTCCAGATGTAAACTCCCAGAGATCAATAATAAAGTTTGCTCTGAAATGATGGTAGCTATCTTTAAAGCATGCAGCGTTTAAATGTGAAGCAAAAACAAAAAAAGGAAAGGAGGTGAGATGGAAAAAAGGAAGTAAAGAAGGAAGGAGAGAAACTGAAAGCTGGACACAAAGAAGGAAAGATGAGAAAGTTAAGAAAAGAAAAAATGATTAGAAACAAACCAGGAATAGAAATGGAGGGATAGAAAAAGAAAACAAGGAATAAACAAAAGACAGAGACAAAAAGACAATGGAAGGAAAAGAAAAAACAGAAGGAAAAGAGGCAAACTAAGAAAAACAAAAGAAAAAGAAACAAGAGAGAAACAGAAAAATAAAAGGCAAAGACACAAGATGGAAAGAGAGGAAGAAGGAAAGAAACAAGCAGAGAAATGAATGATAAATGAAGACAGTAACAAAAAAAGAACAAGACAAAAAAACATTAAAAAATGAAGACACAGAAAGATAGACATGAGGATGAAAAATTTAAGAAGAAAGGAAGGAAACATTTAGGTAGCCGGATGGGAATGGACTTTTGGTACAATAATATTTTTTCTTTATTTTCAAAGATCTAAAAGTCAAGTATTCAACTTTTTCAGTTGATCAGACCGAGTATTGATTTAGTTTGGATTTATTTTCTGTTCCTTCACTCCGTTTTGTTACTTTAACAGTAGAAAACCCTGGTAATGCTTCTGTTTTATTACCCTTTCCCACGTCTTCAGCATCATAAAGGCGAATGTGTGGCGATAAATAACTCCATTAATCCCTTTACCCTGCATGCTGAGCTGAATGGCTCTCCGAACGTCGGCCTCTTCGTCCTCCACATCCATGTCCTGCCTGCTGAGCGCCAGAGCTCTCTTCAGCTCCTCGTCCTCGTCCTCCACAACAAAACCCACGTCCGTCTGCGCCTGAGAGGCCGACATCCTGCTGGCAGAAAACACCGGGGTGAGCGGTTCTTTTGGATCGGGACGCCGGCGTGCTGCGGAGACGTACCTCATGCTGGTCTGGGCCTCGTCCTCCCCGATGAGTCTGGGCCGCTGCTGCTGGTGGACCCGCATGATCCCCAGGATCTGCTCCGCCTCGCACTCGGGGAGATTTCCCCGGATTACAAATATGGAATAACCTGCAGAAATACGGATTTAATATTTCTAATCTGAACTCAACATGTGAGAGAATTTATCAGGATCCACACAGTAAAATTCAAATGTTACAAAGTCAATTTACGATTCCAGCACCAAAATAAACAAATGAACTAAAAAAGATTATAGTTTCAATTTGTGATTATATGATAATTATTACTGTTATTAAAATGATTTGTGATCATATTCTACAGTCGACAGCAGCGACAGAGTAAGCTAAAATATAACAAAATTCTATGTTTTGAAATGTCTCTGAAATGAACAAAACATACATTTTACACAAAAACTCCCAGATTTTCAATAGTTTTGCTTAAATAGTAATATTTAAAGTATAACATGATCAATAAGTCTTTGAGGAATTGGGAAACTGTATATTCATTAAAGTGAAACAATCCAAACAAATTGTGTTAAGGTTAATAAGCTTCGAGCTCAAATTAAATGTTCAAACACAAATAAAGTTACAAAATAATTCTCAAAAATGTTCTAAGTTTTCTGGCATTTAGTAAATAGAAATAATTTTAGCAATTCTACAAAACCTTAAACAAGAAATGTTTTGACTTATTTAACTTCAGACAGCGAGAAAAATGTCTTTATATTCTGTCTGAAAATATCTGGTTCAAATTCAGACTTTTAATAAAACAACAGAGTGCATTTTATTGCTAAACTGTGCACATTCAAAGACTTTGTACAGAAATCAACACTTTTCAAACCCTGAAAACACTTGCAAGGATTTCGCACTCCTGATTTATTTTATCTGTACCTTCCTGTTGCAGCTGTGCGAGGAATAGTGCTAAATACGTGTCCGATATCAACTCCGGTCCAGTCAGCAGTGAATTCAGGTTGAACCACTGCAATGAAATCAGAGTCTCTGGTTAAATGCATCAACTGGAGTTATTAAAAACTAAAAGGCGGCGTCATACCTGCTGTCCCAGTTTGCGTATGGTAAACCAGTGCTCCTTATAGTTGCAAATGAAAGCTTTTTCATTTCTAAAACATAAAAGATGGCGTCAGTTTCGCCTGAAATGTCGGTTTTAATTTTTTCACAGCTCACTGACGGCACCTTACATCGGGTTTATCATCAGCCTTTGATACTCTGGACTGTTAAAAAGGATCAGCTCCAAGCCCCACACCCGCAGAGCGTTACTAATAACCTGTAGCGACCAGCAGATAAACGGGAGCTAAACCATCTGAAGTCAGGACTTTACATTTACTGGCAAGGAGGGATTTAAAGACGTACTTGTATCGAGAAGAATCCACTGTCATCCATGTTCCCTGAGGGTTGCTGTAAACACAAAAATACAACATTAAGAATGATTTGAAGCTAAAATATGTAGCTTTTCTAATATATTTTATATATTATGCTACATTTTGTCCTCTAGTCACCTGTAAAAATGTCCGGTACTCCTCACTGGCCATGCCGCCCTCAGCCATCCTCATCCTCTCCTCTTCATCCAGCTGGTGAGCAATGGAGGACAGATCCACAGGGGTGAAGTACTCCCCCTGCAGGAGATTGTTCAAGCAGTGCTGGGCACACAGGGAGCCCTCTTGCTGCAAAACAAAAATATTGTTGTTTTGAGACAATTCCAAAGTAATATAATGGCATTACAATGAAAGAACACATTCTCAAAGATCGATAAACTTTAAGTTCTAATCAACACTTAACACTGGAAGACATTTTAAATATCCAAAAATAAATAAAACTAAATAGTGAATTATGAAGTTTCTGGATTTCAGTGAAACTAACAGTGGAATTAAAACCATCTTTAAACATTAAATAATTCAAAATTCTGTATAATAGAGAGAATCTGAAACTTAAAAAATTTGTTGCAAATTTTCTGTATTAAAACTAATTTCATTTAGTCTTTTTTTTATATATATCAAATGAAAGTAGATTTATTAGCAGCAAAGTTGTTTCTATTGTAAGAAAATGTTTGCAGCTGTGATGAACAGGCCACTTTTTTTTGTTATCATTCTTTAATTTTATTTTGGTGCCACACAAAATCACTCGGAGGGCCACAAATGGCCCCTGGTCCGCACTTTGGACACCAATTATCTCGATATATTATGTTGTTGATTTAGCATTATTAGCATCGATATTATCTTAATTTTTTTTGTTAGCACTATTAGAGCTACTCTTAGTAATAATTATACTTGTTGGGAATATCGTAAGCACATTGAATTTTGCATTAATAAAGAATCAGAGGACAATGAAAAGTAAGAGGATAAATGATCAAATTCAACCAATCAGTTCACTTTAACATAAAGTGCTCAAAAGAAGTTAAAAATACACACAACCACATATTAAAAACGAGCAAACAAATACAGACAGCACAAATGATAATAAAATATAACTAAAGGGCAGAGAAAAATCTACCTTCATAGATTCAAAAAGAGACTTTAAAAAGGTGCACCAGTTTAAATTGTTACATTTATTCTATCAGTAAACACAGGATACACCATTTTGAAACGTAGTGATTAGGATTTTAAGTCATAGTAACTGATCAATCAACACAGTATAAATTATAAACATCCAGTTTAGTTTTAAAATCAAACTAATCAAAAACATCAAATTAGTGGTTTTACTCCACAGCGACAGCACATCGCTTCATTAATGCAACTTTCATTACTAATAAAATTACAATTCGGGAACCTCAAATAATTAGTTTTAAGCTGTTAAAACAATCTGAAAACAAACTTTTCAGTCTTTCTTGTTAGCTTGTGGGCTAGCAGTTAGCATTCAGAACAAACAACAACACCACAGCTCAGCTAGCAGCGGCAGCTACCTGCTGCTAAACTGACACAGACACTCATACGACGAGTTGCAGTCAACATTTACAGATAAGCGACTCCGATTAAATATGTTACCTACTTTCTCATGAAATATGGAATCCATATTCAGCTTTCTGTCAAACATTCAACTCTGACCTCCACCTCTTCCGCATTCATCAGCTCAGCGACAGGAGACAATCTTTACTGGCGCCCCCTGGTGGTTGGCCTGCTCAGAACCGTGTAACAGGAAACGGTCTCTCTATGACGCATGCTCCTTAAACAGCACCTGAACATGGCGGATAGGGAGAAGCCGTCAGAGGGGCTGCAGCTCAGTCAGGTGAGATGTTCTGGGATTAAATCCAGTTGACAGCTGACCGAGAATCCGAGGGGAGACCGCGGATCGCATCGGGATGATTTCTGGGAATTTAACGGTCTTTTTGCTTTGTGGCAGAGCACCGAGCCGACGAAGCTAAAACAGCTCACAGGCTAACTACCAACTAGCCTCAGAGAGCCTCCAATTAAATGCACATAAACGTGTTTATTTACATGTCTGAGTGGGTTTGAAGCAGGATTCATTGTTGTTTTATATTTACTGCTCAACAACCAGTTTGTTTAAGTGTATTTGTGTGTTTTGAAGCACAATTTGTTTTAGTTTTGTTAATCCAGCTCATTGTTTAGGTTTAAAGCAGCATTAGTTTGATGTTTTTATCTCTGATCTGGTTAGAAATATGCTTTTCAGTTTCGGATGTTTCGCTTGTTTCTGCGGGTGAAAATCAGGACAGTTTTCTCGTCATTGTTCTCGTTGGTGTTTTTAATATGAAAGCAAAACTGATCCTACTGACTATTTTTTTTATAGCGATCTGAATTCAGTTGAACTCTCTTGCTAAGGGGCATCAGCACAATAAAACACTTTGTATTTGATAAGGATTTGATGCAGACAGTCTTGGTATTTATCACCTTAAGCATTGTTCTGACCCTCTTGTTTGAATGTTGCAGCTGATTTAAGATCAGGCAACCTTTTTTCAATCTTTTGTTCAATTTTGGTGTGAATTTAGCCCCAGTTTTGTGATATTGGCTGACAGAAGTGATATTCAGTGTGGCCTTCTGTTGGTGGAAGCTGTCTGCTTCAAAATTCAATGTGTTGTTTGTCCAGAGATATCATCAAAAAGCTATTTCATCCTTGCAAATTCCCCTTACTGGGTATTTTCTCTTTTGTGGATTCTTTTCTAAAATCCTGAGAGAAATCCAGGTGTGAAAATCTGTGTCAGCCACATTCAGACTCACTTAAATGCCTTTTCTGGCTATTTTTCTGCTTGGCTTGAACGTTGGAAAATCAACTTAAGGTTTAGATGTAAAAATGCATTGGGTTGCTGTCTTATAATTGGTTAACAAATTAAATTAACCAGTTAAACAGTTGTACCAAATAAAGTAACCAATGAGTGAAGGTGGCTGTAATGGTTTATGATATTTGCATAACATCTGATAAATATGAGGAATCACTTTGCTGTAACAGTTTGGCTTTATCTGGTGACAGCCTCATGTGCCGTGATGTTATTCAGTGGAAACCGCTTGTCTGAATGTTGCAGCTGAATTGGCTGAGTTTAGAGGACATTTTAGCCACTTTGGTTGGATGTGAGTTACTTCAAACGTTCTCCTCAGTACAACTTCAAAGTGAATGTCACAGAAAAACTCAACTGTCATTTTTACTGTCAGTTTTAGTTGACCTAAAGATTATTTCAGTTGAAGATAATCCTGATGATAAATTGGTACATTCTGCAGATTTTTCAATGAAACATTTTTATGCACTTTTAGAAATACACTAGATGATAGAAATAAACAAATAATCCATTTTATAAGTATGAAAATAAACATTTTGTTGCCTGAAATGCAATGACATATAATAACATTTGTAGCACAGGATTAATTTTTATTTTAAAGATCCTTCGAACATCAACATGTGATCAGCTCAGCCCTTTTTACCTTCTTTAACATCAGTGTAATGTAGGTCTGATCTGTTGGTGCTTAAAAGGAGATTTTATTTTACAGAATTTGAACTAGATTAACCTACAACTTGAGGAGTTTTGAATCTTACAGATTAAGTTTTTTTTTCCATCTTAATTGCAGAATTTAAATACCGTTTGGTTTAATTACTCCTTAGTATGTTGTTTCAGCAAATGTCCTCTTCTAGATGCTTCAGTTAACAATTAATCAATTACTAAATTAGTTGCTTATTATTTCAATAATCGATTTATCACGATTAATCCTTTCAGCCCTAACCTGCATAAAAGCAAACACTTGGGCAAAAGCAGAGTTCCCACAAAATCTGGGAGGGTATAGAGTTTAAATATTGAAAGTATTAAAATAAAATATTTGTGCATTTCCAGCCTTTATTAGTCTTGATCTATTTGTTCATTCTTTTATCTACCATTTGTAGAAGTAATTAGGCCTGTCACAAAAAACAATAAATCAGTTAATCACTTTATAAATGAAAACAAACTCAATAATTTCCATCTGCATGGTTTATTGTTTTTCTCTTTTTTTCTCTTCCTATGAAAAATTGGATGATAAAATTCTTCAGTCTGGTGCTTTGGTCTCTATTTGCTCTTTTTATTTTGAAGGACAATTTAGTTTACAGAAACTCCATAATTAATTTTATTAGTTGCTTCTGGGTTTTTTTTGTTAAGTTATTTTGGATATTTAAAATGTCTTCCAGTTCGAGTGTTAATTATATATTAAAATTTAAAGTTTGTTGATCTTTGAGATTGCATTATTGTGCCATTACATTATATTACTTGATTATGAACTTAAACAAACAATACTATCATTTTCTTGCAATAATTTCTGTGGGAATTTATCGTCTAACATAATTTGGTGTTATGACAGGCCTGGAAATAATAATTCAAATGTAAACAGTTTTGAGGAAATGCTCATGCAGTTTTGTTTCAATAGTCAACAGGGCGTTTGTTTCTCCTTGTTGTTCCTAAAGGAATGGCTGGAGGCAGCAGATTGCAGGGCGGAGCTGCTGCAGCACCTGAAGGACCAGGTGCCGCAGATCTTCTGCCTGAAGAAGGAGCTCAGCCCTCCAGAGGAAGAGGAGCTGACGCAGAGGCGGCTCCTTCATCCTCTGGAGTGCTTCCTGTTCGGAGAGGATCCTCAGGAAGGTCGGCAGAAGCTGCAGCAAGGCAGCGCCTCGTCTCAGCTCTGCGGCCGCGTCTTCAAGGAGGGAGAGACCGTTTACTCCTGCAGGTCTGCTCAAAGACAGTTTATTGCAGCAGTTTTCGCCACTGTTTATTCCACAAAAGCATCAATAAATATTTGTAAATTCAAAGACTTGATTAAATGCAGTTACTGTGTGTAGGGTACAGTAGTGAATCACGATATATCATCACTAACATCGGTATCGGCTGATATTAACAACCGATGTTGGTTTTCCTCTTGTCGTTTTTCTCTGTTTTTTTTTTTTTTTTTTTTTTTTTTTACCAAAGCCGCTTAAGCGCTTGAGAAATATATGTAATATTATTAAATATAATTTATCGTCCATAAAGTAATATTAGTATTGGGTATCAACATCGAGACACATTTTCATATGACTGAGTGTAAGAATCTTCTTTCTAATTTTATTGAATTTAGTTTAATTTGATGTCTTAAATTAATATCAAAACCTAAGGGTTTGGAATATGAACTTAAAGTTTTATAACTATTTTGTAGTACTATTGTGATATTGGTAAAAGTGATGGTACACATGATTTATTACTTCTTTTTTAGGAAACTATGGCTGTGATTGTGTGTCATAGCAATTATAGTTATATATAATTAATTATATATATTTTGCCACCCTGGCGGTTCGGAGCAGGGAAGAAACGCTGGAGGAACCGTATCTGATGAGGAAACACAAATTGTAGTAACACCAGCATTGTCAGTAGTTTCTTCTTCTTCTGTGGTTTGTAGGAAGCAGCCATGTTTTGCGTCATATTATGCATGAGCTATGGATTCCCTGTCAGAAAAGATCCATTTACTCTGTTTACAAAACAACGGACACCAGTACGGTTTAGAAACATGGCACAATCTGTGCCGTTGTCAGAGAAAACATCCGGTAACTTTACAGACCAAACGCAACAAAACTTATTTTCACCAGAAATTGTTGTTGTGTAAACAGGGCCTCAGTTTCTCCACTGTGCCTCATAAAGTGCTTAAAATTAAACAACGGTGTGGAGTGAAAACTGTGAATAAAAGAGGATAGAATCAAGTAAAAGTAACTAGTAAAACAAATGAGCTTAAATTAAATAGTTTTTTTGTGTTTTATATTCTGTTTCAGGGACTGTGCAATAGATCCCACTTGTGTGCTGTGCATGGACTGCTTCCAGGACAGTGTGCACAAAAACCATCGCTACAAGGTTGGTGTTAATGCAAACATTTACTTGTGCTCATTTTTCTGAATCTTAGGTTCTGTTCAGTGGTGCTGAGTGCGCTGCTCGGTTCCCACAGAACCCGCTAACTTAATTACTGTTGTGTGTATCCGTCATCTCGCCCTCTGTGACTCATTTACTGTTTTTCCTTCAGATGCACGCGTCATCCGGCGGGGGGTTCTGTGACTGCGGCGACGTGGAAGCCTGGAAGGTCGGCCCGTGTTGCTCCAAACATGACCTGGGGGCTGCTGCTGCCATGGTGACGGTGCGTTACGTAACCGCCGTGTCAGTATTTTCCCATCTTCTTAATGGAAGCTGCTGCTGGATGTTTGGCTCCAGAAACGAGAGCTGTTGCAGCCTTGATCTCGGCGTGGTGATTGGTTTGTTTAGGCCCAGCCGTGATAAGATCGCGCGTTGTGAGCCGGCACGCAGCCGGCTTCTTTCTGTTTTTCTTTTTCCATAAGCAGCAGGTGGTCCATTAACACGTCCGGCCGCTGTCTGACAGCCTGCTTTGTGTTTGCCAACCAGATCTAAACCTGTGCTTAATCAGCATTCACTACAGCGTCCCTGCTGGGAACAAGATAAGCCACAGTCCCTCCGTTATTCAGGGCGAAACCAGATTTTTACATTTACTCAGAACATTTTAAAGGCTGAAATAATTGTTGATTAATCATTAATTGGAGTAAAGTCTCAAACAGGTGATTTGCTGAAAGAAAAACACATTCAGAGCAGCAATAAAGCCAAAACTGTACAGAAATACATACCTTTCTGCATTTA